CAAGTTCAGAGCCCAAATGCTCAACTAGTTGACCCTTGAAAAATGACGGGGCACTGCCCCACCTCACCCCACGCAGTCCAAAATTCATGTACAACTTTTGACTCTCCGGTCGACCCTTAGAATCCACGGGGGTGGGGGGGTGTTCGATCTAGAACCCCTGCAGATACCAAGACCTGCAGATGCTCAGGTCCCTTATACAAAATGGCCTAGAACAATGCATACACGCAGACCTCCACGTTTATGGAGTCCCAATTGTGGATCCAAACTACTGGTAAAATCCACGTGTAAGTGGGCCAGCACAGTTCAAACCCATGTTATTCGAGGGTCAACTGTGGCATGCTGCACGGTCATCCCTCCAGCCCCAGCCCCACCACTCCCCACCAGTGCGTCCGCATCTCCCACAGCAAGGCGGCCTTGCCCTGCTCATTAGCTTGCTCCTGCGAACTGCAGCTCACTGGGCTCCCTTCTCAGCCTCTCCCAAACACGCAAGGCAGTCCCGCTGTAGCCTCTGCTGACAGTTGCTGCTCACAGGACGGAGTGTAGCCTGTGAGCAGGGCACACTGGGGGCCTCCCTAAGCTGCCACCAACCAGTCCCAGCCTCATCTCCACCACACTCAACACATTCCAGGCCCCTGCACAGGGGCCCCCACCCCAACCCTCAGCCACAGTTCCCCAATCATTCAAGGCCCAGCTCACAGCTCACCTGGCCTCTCAATCCCCGCTCGCTAAGCAGAGCTTGTAACTGCATTCACAGCACTCTCCGAACAGGTCTTTATCATGGTATGCAACACATGGGATTAAAATTACATGCTCCCAAATCTGTCTCCTCCAAGGTCTGGGAGTTCCCCAATGGCACAGATCATGTCTTATTTATCTTTTGAACCGTCAGTGGGCAAACAGGAGGTGTTCTAACACTATTTATTGAACAAATAAAGGCCCCTCATTCCGAGGAGCTACCCCAAATGCTAGTGGCCAAGATCGCTAAGCAGTGACTCAAGCCTGCGCATCTGTGTACGTACACACACGGAGAAGCCTGAGGTGTGGGGGCCCCCGTGCTGAGCGTGCTCAGCTCCTCCAGCCATCTGTGCTGCAGGCCCCTTTCCTAGGTTCACAGGAAAGAGAGCCCCAGATGAACGCGGGGCCTGGCAGGGCTGGTCTGAAACCCACACATCAGGGCAAGCCTGAGGTGTTGAGGAAACACTACGAGGTCTGACTTCCCCTGGAAAAAACTACAGTCAGACAGGAAATGCACAGGCAGGGATGGCTAGCTCTGGAGATCCGGACACGTGCTCTTGCCCCTCTCCCGCTGGGAACAGCTGGCCAGTACAAAGAAAACCCCTGATGACACCCTGCCTGCTGCCCTCAGAACAGGCCTCGTGGTCTGTCTCCTCACCAGCCTGACAGCCACAGGGGTAAAGTCCCCGACAGCTGTCCCAACATCACCTCCTGTCTGAGCCTGACTGCCTCGTCCATGTGGTTTGCTTTCTCCTGCCACTCCCCAGCCCTTGTCCTCAAGCTCACCGCTTGGAACTGTCTTTTTCAGTTTCCCTGAGGGTAAGGCCCTGTCTTCATTCACCACCCGAGGGGCCCTAGCATCTAGAAGAGGATCTACAGAAGAATCAAAGAAGAGAGCCCAGGGCTCCAAAGTCGCCACGTGTGCTTGGCTGGCATGCAGAGCCCTCCGTGTCCACCCGGGGCCCTTGCCCACAATGACCCTGGACTGAACCATCTCACCCCAAAGAGGCACCAGAAGGAAAAGTGTGGCGCCAGAGCCTAGGGAGGCTGAGGTTGTCTGTACTGTACGGTCTGAGCACAAATCCTTGGAGGAGCCACAGGCTGAGGCCCACTCACAGCACAACCCCAGGGCTTAGAGCCTCTGGGGACTGGCCAGCCAGCCATGACTGGACAGCTGGGTCCAGCTGAGGCTGTCCCACACCAGCACTATCACCCGTGACATAATTCACTCCCTGTATTTCCATTTTCTCATCTGTAAAACGCGATGGTACTGGACCACCCCCCGGAGTCCTTGTGAGGATCAGCCAAGAACACACGATGAAAAGCCTTTGTAGCACTCAGCAGGAAGTCTGTAATTGCTTTATATTCACTTATGTCAGTATCTGGAAAAAAAAAATAGCAGTTCCTGTCATACCACTACAACAACTGGTACCTAGGCACTTTCCCATCCCTCTTCTAAGCCAAACTACGACCTTAGAAATCAGCAAGTGTCAGCCCTACTTCACGAGTGGTAAAGCCAGAGGGCACAGGAAGGCCAAAACAAGGTCTTACACCAGTGCTGTGCACCTTCCCTGGACTACACCATCTCTCCTTCAGGGCCATGTTCACCATGAGGGTAGCACAAGTGTCTCGCTCTCTTTGGCCAGGCGAGAGGCACTGCATGGTACCCTGGCAGGGCCAGCAGGACAAGGCCAAGCACCTGAGGCACCTGGGCAAGAGGCAAGGTGGCAGGGGATCCAGCTGGCAGCCCGACCTTCCTCAGAGCTTGCACAACAGGGCTGCAGGGACCAGAACCCACCAAAGAGGCGTACCCATGAATGGGGAAGTAGGCCAGCTTCAGTGGGGGCTCCATTTGCACAATCTGAACTCCACACAAGCGTCTACTAGCCTTGTTGCCAAGACTCCTTCAATCCGGGCCTCCAAAATGAAAGGGCCAGAGCCCCTTCTACACTCTTTACCTATGCAGGCCTCTCAAATCCCTGCTAACTAATAAGATCATTGAACATGCACCCCTCTGGCTGACCCACCCCTGGGGGCTGGGGTCATCAGGTCTTCTGCATTCCTGCTTCCATCCCCCAAAGACCTGTGACACCATGGACTAGACCCTTCCCTCTCCACACCCCTTCCTTCTGTTCAGGCTCCAACTGTAAGAGGAAAGTCAGGCGTCAGATGTGAAAATCTCCATATACTTACTTTATACATTATTCTATGTGGTAGGTGGGTGGTAAGTAGACGGGTTGGGGAAAAAAACAAACAAACCCATTTCCTCCCCTTTTCCGGGTAGTGATCTAAGTGAATGTGAATTCAGTTCCCATCCTCCTCCCTTCCTGCACTCTCACCCTCTCCTACACCCACACTCCCCCTCCACAACATTCACATCCAGGGTCTAGGAGGGCAGTCATAATCTATTATTATTATTAACGACAGCTCACATTAATTAAACATTTACCATGGGTCAGGCACTGTGCTAGAGGCTGTACGTCAATTTTCTCATTTAAACCCCCGAGCAACCACATATAGCAGATATGTTATTCCTATTTTGCAGATGAGGAAAACTAAGGCTCAGAGAAGATAAGTAACTGACTGGGGGACACACAACTGATCAGGCCTCAAAGCCAACCTTGCCTTCCACCACTGTGCTGCACTGCCTGCCTGCTGGTCACACACATGGTTTGAAATGCAGCCTGTGATGTTACTCTGGAGATCTCTACGAGGGAATGTCCAGCCAATGCCCCCAATTCAGCACAGCATAGGGAGCACCACAGAAGCAAGACAGGGGCTGTGCCTGGATTCTGATGCCTGGGTAATGTTCCCAAGACTATCTCAGCTTTTCCTGCAGTGTCTGTCCTTCCTCCACTTTGAAATCCAGTCTCTCAAATCACTAACATTTTCTTGCAATAGCTGGCAGGGCCAATGGGGGCATAGAAGAAGGCAGCTGCCATTTCTAAGGTCAGCAGCTGTGTCAGATCTGGAGTTTGTAGTTGGGGACGGCTGCCTTACCACAAGGTCTTCCTTCCTCCCAATCTCCTCACCCATCTACACGCATGACCAAGGAAGTCTGCAGGACCTTCCCTTGGGGGTGTCACTTCCCGACTGCCCTCCTACACATGGGCCTTGTTCTGAGCCTGGCTCTAACACCTGTCTTGGGGGGGGGGGTCTCTGCAGGAAGCAACCTACAGCCTGGGGTTGTGACACATCATCTCTCACACTTGGAGGCGGGGGAATGCAGGGCAGAGCTGGGTGCCCATCCGGCCACAGCACAGGCACACGCTAAGTGGAATAACACGCTGATAGATCTGGGGTTTTTCAGAATCCCTAACTCTCTCCTCCCAACTCAGACCTGCACAAAAGCAGCCATGCTCAGGCCTGGGAGAGCCAAGAGGTAAGAAATCAAGAGTAGCTGCTCCTGGCTCCCTACAGCCACAGGACACAAAGGGCTAGACCCCAAACTGGCCGCTCGCTCATGAAAAGAGTATTTGACTCCAAGGCACTGAGGCTGGCCTTTCTGGGGCCAAACTTTTGAGGGTGTGCTTCCAAGGGTAAGGGGAACCTGGATCTTTACCGAGAGTCCCTGCCCTGGCTTTGGGTGTCTGCCCACTCACACAAACCTCCAAAACTCAGCTTCAGGACAAAAGCTGCAATAGGAAAAGAAAGTCACTGCCTTTTCTCAGACTTTTCCAAACCAAACAGGACCACCTTCCTCCTTCTCCCCGAGAGAGAGATGAGTAGGCCCGGCTCTGCTCCAAAACCAGCCCTACTCCAACATCTGCCCAAGTTCTACTCAGAGAACCTAAAGGTTCCTTTGCAAATAAAAAGCCCAGCCTGGGGTCCCAGAGTTTCGCCAAGACCGCTCTTTTTGGAGAAAAGGTGGTGAGCGGAAGCCATCGGGTCTCACCCCAGGCTCAGAGGCTGGATGGGGGCCGCTGCCTTGGCTCCCCTCGCCTATGTGGACTCCACTCCCGGGGTGTGGGAGACCCGATGACTGCCCCGCTGGTTTCTAACTCGCTAGAATTTTTAGGCCTCTGGGCAAAGCGCCAGAACACTCCCCCCAGCCGGGGGAGGGGGTGTCCTGTCAGGTGACCGAGGACCCGGATGCCCCCCACCCCTGGTGACCACCGGGGCCGAGGCGGGGGCGGGGTCCGGAGGGTGTAGGGAGGGACGGAAAGTTTGTCCAAGTCGCTCGGCGGCCGCGGCGCGCGGGAGGAGGGCGCGGATCTCTGCCGCCTCCGCGCGCGCAGCGGGCCCCGGGGAAGGGGCGCACTTACTGGCCCCCTCGATCTTGTCGGCGCCGCGGCTCCACGTGATCTGCCGCGTCTCCAGCTTGACCTGGAAGGTCTTCCGCTCGGGCCGCTGCGACTTCTTGGAGTAGAACAAAGTCATGACGGTGCCCACCTCGAGGCTGCGGCAAAGGTGCAGCACCTCGGCGTCCGAGGGCGCGCCGGGCCCGCAGCCATTGGCGCAGGGGGACGCAGCGCCTGCCATGGCTCCGACGCTGGGGGCGGCAGAGGCTGCGGCGGCGACGCAGGCCCGGCTGGTGGGATCTGGCGGCAGCGGCGGAGGCTGAGGCTGCCGGCGAGCGGGCCCCGGCGGCGGCTCCTGCGGGCGGAGACGGGGCGGGGCGGGGCCTGAGCGGGGGGCGGGGCGGTCCTGCAAGCCCCGCCCCGGCCCGCGCGCCGGGAACAAAGACGCCCGCGCGCCCGTGGGGAGGACCCCCGCCTGCCGCCCTCCGCGCCTGCGCCCCGCGACCCCCAGCCAGGCCCCGGGTGGGGGCGCAATGGCGGCGGGAGCGCGCGTGCCGCTCGCGGTCAAGCCCCCGTTCCGCCGTCACGCAGAGCTTCCTCACGCGACCCCATACACATCTGGGTGGCCACAGTCGACCCCGTCACGCGCGGTAGCCGCTCGGCGGCCCCGCAGTCAGTCGCACACGCATAGGCGGCCGCCCAGCCCACTGTCCCGTACAGGCCCAGTCGTAGCCGTTTCCTCACCCCTACTCCCCGAGCACCGCCCACGCAGCAACCGGGTAGAGAGGTGAAGACGCGGAGCGTCCCCCGGGCCCGCCAGCCAAACCCAGTTACCTGGGCGGGCTGCCCGGCGGAGGGAGCCAGGCCGGGCCGCCTCACACCGGCGGCGGCGGCGGGTCTTCTGCGCGCCCTCTCCGGGGAGGGGCGGGGGCGGGGCCGCCTGCGGATTGGCCGGCGGTCTCTGATGGACAGGCGGTCTAGTCCGCCCCTCCTCTTTGGCCGCGCAGGGCTGGCCCGCAGGCCGCAGACCCACGTCTGTCCCTCCGCTGTGGCCAGGGTAGCCTTCGAGGGCCCTGTCACTTGGAGAAGTCCCCCTAGATCTGAGCATCCCCTGCAGGGCCTTTAGACCCGCGGCTCCCAGTGGCCTTTGTCTCTGACCCTCGCATAACCCACTGCCCGCCTCACCTCGCGCTCCGTGTCCACGAGGCAGGACATGGGCTCAGGTCCTACATCACGGTGCCCCTCCTGTAAGTGCTTTCCTGGGCTTTCGTTTTCACGGCCTCTTGTTTTCCTCCTTCCTCTCTGGCCGCTGCTTTTCGGCCTCAGAAGCTTCTCTTCCTCTCAGCTGGGTCCTGAGCCCTTTCCCAAGACGACCTGTCACCCCCAACCCAGACACCCGCAACGTCAAATCTGTATCTTCCCTGCATCGCACGACCTGCTCCACGTCCCCACTTAACACAGGCATTTCACGTCTTCCTCTAACTGCTCTTCCCCCAGTCTTCACTTTCTCAGAATATGGCACTAAACGCGAAGGTGCTTGGGCCAAAACCCTTGGAGATATACTTGATTCCTCTCTCTGCCTCAACCCCACACTCAACAGCAGTCCATCAAGTCCAGTTCGCTCTGCCCTGAGATATCTCCATTCCATCCACAAGCCCAAGGCCCATCTTTTCTCACCCAGACTATTCACCCTCCTTGCTCTTGCCTGTATCCATTCTCCATCCTTTAATCTTTACAATGAAATTAATCATGGCCCCCTGCCTCCAGCCTCAAACCCTCCATGACTTCGCATCGCACATAAAATGCATACTCCCTACGTGGCCCGGCAGGTCCTGTATGGTCTGGCTCCTTTCTCTCCTACTTCATCTCTCACCACCTCCCCTGCGCTCCCCATTCTCCAGCCACAAGGCCTTTTTGTGGTTACAGGCTGACTTCATTTTCGTGCGCCTCATTTGTTGGGCTTCACAGGTGTTGTCTTTTTTACAAACTGAAAGCAAGACCCTCCACCTGCAAAAAGATTACAACTCACTTTGTCGCAATACGGGCTTTATTATGGTGATTTGGAACCGAACCTGTAATATCTCTGAGATATGCCTGTATTTGAATAATGCACAGTCTTTTGTCTTCCTGAAGCCATTCTCTAGACTCACCCCTGCAATCTAGCTGCCTGTCACAAAGAACCGCCAAAACGAAAGACACCTGTGGTCACAGTGGAACCGGTCAGACAGATATTGAGCCAGGCAGAGCAGGACAACTTACTGCAACTCAGAGTGAGAGGCCTAGTGGACCACCCAGCTGATGCCCGAGAAAGATCCAGGCTTCCGGAAATTTGTGCTCAGGCAACACACCCAGCTGGGTGGTGACTAGTGTCTGGGGCTGCTTCATCTTGTGGTAACATGTGTGTTTTGATTCCCTCTCAAGTGCAGCCCCTAAGGAGCTGAGAATTAAGTCTGAAGTTGACTCACCTGTCCTAGGAGGTTTCAGCCACCTGAGCGGAGGTGGAGTGGCTGAGATGGACTGCCCCCTAGTGACAGGCCTTTAAAATGGGAGGGAGGGAACTAAAGTTGATCTAATGCCCTGCCCAGTGATCCAGTGCTTACATATGTGGTCACACCTGATCCTCATAATTACCCTCTAATCAGGGATTATTGTCCCCAATTTACTTATGAGGAAACAGATTCAGATAAGTTCTGTAACTTGCCCCAAGGCCACAAAACTAAGAAGTGGGGATTTGAACCCAAGTGTGTCTGACTCCATGCATTTTCTGCCTCACAAGAGAGCCACTGGCTTAAGTAGGACAATAGTCAGTGGGCATGGAGGCTAATTGGGATGGCTGAGAGGAAGCCTTGGGCATGGTGGGGGGGGGAGGGGGGGCCTGGGCACAGGGAACCCAGAAAACATGAGCACTCATAAAGTGTGGCTTGGGCTTAAAATGGTGCTACCCCTGTCTGCAGCCCCTGAAGCTTCCGTGTGCGAGGCACTGGTGCCATGAGTTGGGAGAACAAGAGAAACCCTGTACCAGCCTCCAGGAATTCACAGACATTAAACAGATAAACACTCTCTTATGCAGGGACAATTGTGATGAAGTCTACAGAGGAAAAGAACAGAGGGCTATCAGATAAAATACTAGGGAGCCATACTTCAGATCTAGTAGACATGGAAGACCTCTTTAGGACTCAACAGAGGCCTAAAGGATGTGAGTAGATGACCAGGTGAATTATTAGAGGTGGGTTGAAGGAAAGTACCATATTTCCCCATGTATAAGAGGCACCCATTTTCAAAAAATTTGGGGTCTAAAAACTGGATGCATCTTATACAGTGGTTGTAGGGTTTTTTTACTTGCATTTCCCGCTTGTTTTTGAGCTCATTGTTGTAGATTTTTAACTTGCATTTCCCGCTTTTTCGCGCTTGTTGTCTTTGCGCTCATTGTTTCGCACTTGTTACCGGTGTATTACAGTAGGTTACGTTTTGCCACATTCTGCCCAGAAATGGCTCAGAAAATATTTTCGTACAGTGCTGAATTCAAGTTAAAAGTGATCCAGTTTGCAAAAGTGAATGGAAATCGTGCTGCTGAACGTAAGTTTGGTCCTCCTCCGATGGAGAAAACAATCCAAGACTGGCTACGGGAAGAAGAAACCCTACTGAAACCGCCACGGCAGAAGAAGGCCATGAGAGGCAAGTCAGCAAAATGGCCAGATTTAGAGAGGGAATTGAAGATATGGATTGAAGAGCAAAGGGCAATTGGGTGATTTGTCATCAGACACAGATGAGGACAAGCTAATGGTTGGGAGTTTTGACAGCGATGAGGAGTTGTATGAATTTTATGATGAATAAAACTTGAGTTCAATAACTTTATGTAATACTTTTTTTTTTCAAATTTCGGGCCCCAAAATTAAGGTGCGTCTTATACACGGGAGAGTCTTATAAATGGGAAATACGGTACTTTCCAGGCAGAGGTAACAGCATGTACAAAGGCCCTGAGGCCAGAAAGAGCTCCGTGAGTTTAGAAAGAGCTCGGTGAGTTTAGGAATAGAAAGACGGCTAGAGTTTACTGAGAGCAGGGGAACATGTCGGGTGATGAGGCCAGGAAGACCGGTGGGGGCTGAATGGGGCTCCTCCCGTCTTTCTGATTTTGCCCATTTTTCTAGGAGGTCCCCTCCCGAGTGCGATAGCCCTCCTTGAGCTTCTTGTGCCAACTTGGGCAGCCTGCGGGCTGTGATGCACTTTTAAAATCTGTTTTTCTATTTTCTGAGAGCTTCCCAACATGCAGCCCATGCTTCCTTGCTTTTGCTTGTGTTTTTGCCTCCAGGCTGGGCCCCCAGGAGCTCCAGAAATCCCTGCCAACACGAGCTCATATTTTCAGTCTGCTGCCAGGCCCTTCATCAGGAAACAGGGCCCCATTCCCTTCTGGGACTTCTGAGCCAGCATCCCAGGCCTCAGGTGCCTCCCTCCACCAAAGGATGTTCAGGAAAAGCAGGGCACACAGAGGGTGTGGCTGGTATGGGCTTCCCCCAGCTCAGCATATATATGGGTATGTGGGTGTCACTGGCAATGTGTGCAGCTGCGCTGGCTAGGAGGGAGCAGCCCAGCACCCACACAAGGCACATGCCTGTGACATCACCCAGGCTAGTCCTGCCTGGGCCTATTTCTAGCAACACTCCTGCTTCCACATGTCCAGTCTTCCCTAATACCTTGCCTGGAGTCTGGGGAGAAATCCCAGTTCAGTTGCCCCTCTGGTCCTGGGGACCTGACCCCACAGGTGTTTATTTATCAAACACTTAGAACAGCACTTAGCATGCAGTGAGCCCTAGATAACTGCTTTCCTCACATTGGCTCATTTACTCCTCATTCCAGCACTAACAGTGCTCTTCTTATCCCCATTTTACAGGGGAAAAACTGAGGCACGAAGAGATTAAGAGACATGGTCATGGACACATAGCTAAGAAGTGGCAGAGATGGATTCAAACCTAAGCAGCCTAAGCAGCATTGACTCCAGAGTCAATGCTATGTTGCTTCCCATGTAAGTATAAACATTTTATTGTGTATCCTCATCCCTTTCCATATCCCCCTACCTGATGTCTTCTACTTTTAGTTATTTGGTTAAATGTTGTCACAGGTTGGGGTCTTTGGGAAGCAGACTCTGACAGAGGTTAGTGTGCAGAATGTTCTTAGGGAGAGGAAGGAAACAGAAGGCGGTACAGGGAGCAGCTCAGCTGTGATGCAGGCCAAGCCCCAGGGAGCCCACCTCAATTAGCCCTTGGATGCTGGCTGCCTCAGCCAGATGGCTCTCCACAGCTGAGGTGACCCTGAGGGGCTGACAGCTCTCCCAGGAGTTGGGGCAACAAGTGCTTCCTTGAAGGGGAATCTAGGTGGCACATCACTATGCCCACCACAAATGGATTCTTTTCCAACCCTTTGAAAAAAGTTTAGGGCACTTAAAACAAAGGACGAAAATACTGTAGTATAGAAGTGGGATATGCAATGATAAAAGGAAGACTAGAATATCGGTTTACATCAAATGTGGCTGAACTTCCTGGTAGCCAAAGCAAAAACTATTCTGACAACTGATAACTTGGGGGAGAACCATTTTCCTGGGGATAAATGATAAAAGAAGTTTCTCATATGGACACTTACTTGACTGAAATAATGGAGAACGTTCTCAACAAATTAACAGCAAACGCTGACAGTTTTCATTAGTTCCTCGTAATGACCTTGAGTGAATATAGAAGGTATAAAAGTATAGCTCAGTGAAGCCCCTTCCACAATTGAAGGTAGGCAGATTTATAGACTGGCAGTGTCTAATTTGATCCATGCATAAAACTTTGTCCCCTTCCTTTAAACTATTCTTTAATTTTTAGTCAGTAGTTTATGTTCGATGTCTCAA